AAATAATGAGAACAATATTAATAACACAATCACAGAAAATTTAAAACATTGATATGAAAAACTGAATTAAAATATATTCAACTATTGCTTAGGCAAGACAATTGAGAGGATTCTAGATAATTTAACTGACTAAAAAAAGTGATAGAAATTTTATTTTGTTTTATCCACTATTTCTTATGTATTTCCAAATGAATTACAATGAATTATTATCATAATTTGCTATTCGTTTAGGAGAGAGCTAAAATCTTCCCTCAAAATGAATCCCAAAAAATTATTAGACCCGGTAAATAACAAAATTGGTAGTAAAGGATAGAGAATTTTTAAAATAATATGCCTAACTACAACTAAATTCAGAAGCCAAGAAAATGATTGATAGACCTTAAAATAAAAATCTAAAATTTCAATAAGTCAAAAGATGAGCAGGCTGAGAGAAAAAGCCTGCAATCTGTATAAGAAGGCAAATCTCTACTGTCTATGACCTATAGAAAGTTCCAGACTACTAATTTTTTAAAAAAATATAACCCAACATAAAAACAGGTAAAGGATCTGAACAAAACATTGGATAAAAATTCATTAACAATCTGATTGGTGAAAAAATCTCTTAATTTTTATTTATCAAGAGTCGGGTAAAAAAACCTTGTTGAAAGATATGTAAATTTTGAAGGGCACTCGGGCAGTATTCTATAAGAATATCTGTGGTCTAGGAATCAAACTCCTGTGGATCTATACTTCAAACTTTAAAATAACTGGTTAAAAAGATGGTTACAAAAAATACTGACTGCAGCCCTCTTCATAACTGTGCACTGACTTGAAAAATGTCTATGACTGATTTTTTTAAAGTTAGAAAATAAATACTGTGGGATTCCATTTTTTTTAATGTCTATATGTAGACATTTCAAAATGTCTAGAAGTGTAAAAACCAGAAAACAAAAGCAAAAGTCAAACCTGGTAGCCTCCGTGAAGTATATTATAGGTGATATTAATTTTCTTCATCAAGTTTTTCATTTTCTTCATATAGTCATTAACATGTGAATCCTTGAGTTTTCATTATGGGTCAAGCTATTTCAAAAAGAAAGAGCCTAATATGTGTCAGGCAATCAGATATTTCCTTGCCCTTAGTTTGTGTGGTGGTGGGGGATGGAGAGGGAAGCAGATAAGTATAGAGACTAACATTCAGGGGTCCTGGCCCCATCAGCCAGGCAAAGTGCCAGGAGCAGGACCTCGGATGGAAGACTCTGGGACAATCCTAAAGACTTCCACATGACTTTTTCACTCCAATTTCTATACTATTAACTAATTTCCTCATGGTTTTCTAGAATGAAAGGAAAATAATGTCCAATCAATTGAGGGTCTGGAGTAGTTAGGCCCCAACTGAAGGGAGTTGAGTTGGTGGTGGGGAGACAAAGAAGTCAACTTTGGTTACCTTCTCAGCATCTCTCTCAGAACAAAAATAATGCGATCATTCATATCCTAAGAAGTTCCCTGAAGAAAAACCTAAGGGACTTTTCATTTTCCAGTAGAGCCACCCATAAAAAATGAACATGTTAATCTTCCAGGAATTTCCCTAAAGACAATCATGCCACAAGGTTCCTATAACATCCTGTTCCCCCTCCATCTCCAACCACTTTGTTGCCTCAGACTACCAAGAAAGGAGAACTAGAGCTGTACATCTTAAAAGTGCTTGTTTTTAACAAGCCACACTCCTTTTGAAAATGTAACGAAGAGTCATCTCTCTGGGGCAGAGATAAGTACAAAGGAAGCTCCATTTTGCAGTTTCTTATTAGACAGGGTTCCAAATGCAGTTTAAGCTGGAAAAGACAGCTGGAATTATGGCATTTCCTAACCTCAATATTTTCCTTTCTCTCACATCTTTATTAAGAACCTGATAGGTATGGCTGATGGCTCTCTCAAAGTAAAATAAGTTATAAATAAATAACACTTTTCCCCTCAAGGAATGGAGTTCACACAATTTTGCACAAGCCCACCTCAGTGTCATGATAATACCTAGATTTGCCCCACCTTTAGATCCCTTTAGCTGGAATAGGTGATATGATTTTTTTTTAATACCCACCATTTGAACTGTGAGACTTTTAGAATTATTACACTAAGGTCAATTTGCCAGAATCTCCAGCCTCACAAGTTACCAATTATTGCCTGGCAGATGTTTTAGGCTGAAACTGCCAAGATGTATTCAAGGGGAGAAAAAAAATATTTAACTTTCAAAGCGGAATAAAGGATGCAGCTCACCTGACTGAGGGGAAAGGCAAATGCGCAATGTGCCCCTAAAGCAGTCTCTTCTATATCGGGGAGAAGGGGGCTGAGACCCAAGCTGGAAAGAGATGACAGAAGTCAGCAGCTCAGACAGAAGTGAGCTGAGAGAAAAAAAATGGGAAGGAAAAACCCAGATGGTTGCCAAAGCAAACAAACAAGCCAAAAAAAAAAAACATGGCTTGAAACATTGGATACTAAATAACGTGTTCCAAGTCTGATAAAAATAAATAAATAAATAAATAAAAGTCTGGAAATAAAATTACATCTCTCTATGAGCCCTTATCAGTAGTATTAGAACTCTCTAGCCATTGAGTCCTTCGGAAATGACACGTGGAACTCAGACTCTAGGCCTCAGCCAAAGAGAACAGTCTCCCTRCAGGGAAGCAACCACTTTTAGTTTAGTGGCCAACTAGACTTTCTTCAGCCACTGTTTTTAGTCTGAAAACTACAGACACACAAAACCACCTTTTTTTTTTCTTCTCTAAATTGTAAAACTATTCTTAATCTGGGTTTCACTTCACTAACGGAGGAGCGATTAAACAAAGAGATTAGCTTGTGAATATGACCATCTCTGACTTTCAGTTCCCTATTCTTTATCATTCTGTTCAAAATTTGTCCGCCAATTCTTCTTACTTGTTTCATTAGGAAGTAAGTTGGTGGTGAGGAGGCAAAAAAAAAACACCTCTCCCAAAAAAACATCTCTCTTACTGAACTTTCCTTCCATTCTCAATTTATTATGGCACATATTCTTCTGTTTTCCACTAATACTGTACAACCAGACATCTATAGTAGATTTCAAACCTTAAATATTTCAAAGACTATTTATATGCAAACCTTTGATTTGCTAAATTATTTGTTTAAAAAAAAAGACACTTTTTGTAGTCTCCTCCTTGGGAGAAAAGAATGCAACTACCTCAAACTCTTAATCAGGACTGAGCAATTTTTCAGTATGGAAGTTAAATCAAACTGGCATTATCATAAAGGCCTCTGTTTAGAATGATCAGAGATAGCATGGAAACTGCCTGTTTTTAAAGGGACCTGGCCACAGAATCTGCTAAAGGTTTGTTATAGGAGAAGGGTCCAGGGAAAATTTGTCATAACCACTCCTCTTAAGGTATAAAGAGTGCTTGCCTTGCATGCACAAGACCCTGGGTTCAATCCCTAACACTACAAAAAAAAAAAAGAAAAGAAAAAGGTTTAAAGAAATATGCTAAAATCTCAAGAGGCCTCTGACTTGACAGGGGGAAAAAATACTGCCAGAGGCCCAAAACTTGTGCTGCCTGGTTAGCGCATCACAGAGATAGTGAGCAGTTCTTGGCTCTGAAGTCCACATCCCACTTTTGGGGAGAATTATGTACTTAGTCCTTTCTACATAAAATATCAGAATTTGCCTTCTGATAACTACAGAAAACCTCTCCCACATCTCTCTTGTTAACCTTTTCTTCCAGTCTCAATTTATAATGTCACATATTCTTCTGTTTTCCACTAGTACTGAACAACCAGACATCTATATACAGTAGATTTCAAATCTTAAAGCTTTCAAGGACTATTTATATGCAAACCCAAATATGTATCCTTTATTCTAACAGTGGGTGCTGCTTCTAAAGATACAGGATATGTAAAAAGCTATATAAACCCTGAAGGAAATGTGCTRAGAAAAATAGTGTAGTCAAGATAAAAATAGAGATGATACACCACACCCACTGCAAACACAAGTCCATTCTCCAGCCCAAGCAGAAGAAGGTAAATAAATCCAGAGTCCACTTGCTTCTTCCTTTTAGGATGGTATATTTAGGGGTAAGGCAGATGGAAGTAGTGTATTACTTCAGCCCATCTGGACTATTAAAAATAGACACCTCAGCATTAAGAGAGTTTATGAATCACATGACACATGCCATTTTGGTGTGACACAAGTATCCAGTTGTCAATAAAGTTGCACTAACATCACATTTTCTAATGCAAACTTAGTCTTTAAAATGTCTTTTAAAAGTATAAGCCATACTAGCTGGAAATTAGTTAATCTGGACGGCATGTAGAGGAGGTAAATTCCCCTCTTGGACTCTGACTTTCCTTGCTAGCTCTAAGTCCATTTATAACCTTGACAGCACCATGCGGGAGAGGGAGAAAAGTTTCAATACTACTTCAGGAAAGTTTAACAGCTCACCACTGGATTTGTTTTCAGAGCAGGGGAGCCAAGGCCCCTTGTACTCCCACTTCTGCTCAAATGAGCTTGGAGCTTGGAGCTTGGAGCTTTGACCACGGAGGAGGGGCCCCTTGGCAGCGCCATCTGGCTAGACTGTAGGCCTTTTCATAAAGGCTGAGAAGCCGGTTAATCACACTCTAAACCTCCCACCTGAGAAAAGGCCTGTTTGTTCCGGACAGCAAAGCCCAGCCTTATTTAACCAACTTGTAAGCATGCCCACAGTAGCAAGAAAGTTCTAGCCTAGAATAGTAAAGCCATTGCCCCTTGGAGAATTTCTCCAGTGTCTGGTGTACTGAAAGACGCAGCCCAGCCACCTCACCTGACAGTTAACCTGAAAGCACRTGATCTTTCTTCCCTCTTGGTCCCTTGCCGGGAGGAAACGAAARGGCTACTCGGCCCTGCCTCCACCCTTACAACTTTCCAGGGCTCTGGGGATTGGGAGCAGCAGGAAAAATCGTTCAAAGAACACCCATTCCGGCCTTGTGGGGATCTAGCCCCCCGAAGTTGGGGCCCCAACTTTTCTTACCTTCCAGCCAGCTTCCCGGTGCCACAGAAAGTAGGCGCGGCCGGTCACCGGTGCGGCGGACACTGCTCGCTGGGCTGAAAGGCAGCACTGTCTGCGCCCGGCAGTCGCGGCGCGTGGCCAGGCGCTCCCGCTCCGCCCCAAGTCACAACCTACGCCCCTCGCCTCCCTCCTGAGCCAGGCGAGCCGGGGAACTGCTTGCTGGTCAGAGCTTCTCAGCGTGATGTGCTGGAGGACTTTCTCTACCCAACAGCTAGCCGGTTTCTCCGAGCTCCCGAGCTCCCGGAGGCGGGAGGCAGCAGGGGTATAGAGCCCAGGTGCAGGCGCGAGAAGACCCAAGGAAGGATCAGCCCGGGAAGAGGCAGCCAGGGCCCAAGAGGGACGGGAATAGAGGGTGGGAGAACTGCGGCATGCTCCAGGGGTACTGACCTGTGGCGCGGTCCCCTGGACAGGCCCGAGGCGCGGTCCCACACCGTCAGGTCCAGTGACTCCCCTCCTCGAGGCATCGCGCGGGCCAAAGGCACAGGAAGAGAACGCGCGCTGTGTGGGAAGGCTGCACCTGCCTAGGTCCCTGGAACCCAGCAATGCGRCTTGTCCCCAGCCTCCGCCGTCCGGGGTGTCTCCCCCGGGGGCGAGACTGGTCAGAAGCCTTTATAAAGGAAACTCGGCCCCGGAGCGCTGTTGCGAAGCGGCCCACGCGCCCTCCACCCCGCCTCCGGGCACGCCCTGTCCTCCGTGGTTCCTGCCTTTCATCCCCTTCCTGATTTCTCCTCTTTCCTTTACTCTTGGAGGCGTTCACTTCTCGTTTTCTACCTCCTTTCATTTGTCTGTTTCGTTGGTCATTTTGATTTTGATGCGTCCGGAAACACTCGCTGAGCACCGCGCCCAGTGATGGTGCAGTACTGTGTTCACCGGGATGAGAAAGAAACCGTCCTGAACCTCTAGGACTTCTCATAGAACCGACAAGTTCATTCGTTCTGGAATGTCTTTATTCTGGAGAAAAAAAAATAGCCAGAAATCTCCGTGACAAGGTCATGTTTCTGAGATGCGACGGATGCACAGGAAAAAGCAACATAAAACGACCTTAGCTTGTGTGGGACAGCCAGAGCGAGTGTCCGCGTGATTCAGGAAGGGCGCAGATCCGCACTGCCTGTGCCGCGGGACTCCCCAAGTCAAGGCACCYGACCGCAGTCGCCACTGCTCTTCCTTCTTGTTGCACGAAAATAAGACGCCTGTGGGAAACGATTGGTTGCCATTCGTGAATCTTAGAGAAGAAGGTTGTGGGCACTTGCCCAATGACTGTGTTGCTCAACGGAAGGTGAGGTTGACTTGACAGTTTGGATGCAAAGGCCAAAAGCTTCTTCTCTGAGGAGTCCTCTCCCTGTCTTTAACAGGTAGCAGCAACAGCAGCAAAAGCCCGAGCCACATCCCCAGTCTTTTAAAAATATTTGATTTAGAGACAGGGTCTCGCTGAGTTGTTTAGTGCCTTGCTRATTGCAGAGGCTGGCTTTGAACTAATGATCCTCCTGCCTCAGTCTCTGGGGTTACAAGAGTGCATGCCCAGCGAGTTCTAGGCTATTTGGAGGGGCAAGTGTATTAAAGGTCTCCGGTTTAAGCAAAGAATATTCTGTTGAAAGTCTTGGCATATTAAAAATACAGTACATGTATGAAGACATGAATTGGTGTGAACATACTTTATATACAGAGATATGAAAATTTGTTCTATATGTGTAATAAGAATTGTGATGCATTCTGCTGTTGTGTATTTAAAAAATAAAACCAATTTTAAAAAGTACAATTAGGTTGAAACAGAAACAGCTAAACACAACGACGTATATAAAAGCTTGCAAATTTTAAAGTCACTTTCAAAGGGCTGTTAGACCAAAAAAAAAAAAAAAAAAGCCTTATTTCAGACTCACCCTAGGACCACACCATCAGAAGTGCCCATTGGGTACAGAGAGCTTGGAAGAATATGCATGCAATCACAGTCCCCACAGGTGGATAGAACAGTGTTGTGCTTAGCTTCCTTTTTAGAAGAAAATGTCCCAGCGCTATTTTTCAGGAAAGGATGTAGACTTGTAAAGGAGGCAGACTGTGTGGCATAACTGGAGTGTTTGAGGCATATAATAAGAAATTGTATACCATTTATGAACTTTTTTTTTACTAAAGAATGTTTAAAGCATTTTAAACTCAAAGACAAATTGCCATGCAGAGGAGCATCCTAACAGCTTCAAAATGCATTGCATTTATTAAGCTCTGCAATGTGCAGAGGTTCTGTGCTTCAAAGGGGCCAAAAGTAACCCTGAGTGCATACTAGTTAGGTTGATTTACATATTGTAGCTCACCAAGTGCTGAGCATTCAATAGGCCATCATCTCCTTTTTGAAGTGAGGAAATGGGTTCAGAGAGGCTTGTCACTTTCAGGAAGTCATTCACTGAGTAAGTAGCAGGTCCAAGATTTCTGTTCAGGTCTCTGAATCTCCAAAATCTTTACTTTAACCCCATAACTACATTAGAGATACGATTAAAACATTTGCTGCCCTTCAGTAGTTTTCTTGATCTAACTGAATTGCTGTAACAGTTTCACAAAGTGGAAGAGAGATACATTTACCTCAATATATGTAACTGATGATGCATATATTACCAAGAAGTATAAATGTATCATTTTAAAAATAAACAGTAGGCAGGCTTGGTGGCACACACCTATAATCCCAGCAGCTTGGGAGGCTGAGGCAGGAGGATCAAGAGGAGTTTAGGGCTGGGGTTGTGGCTCAGTGGTAGAGTGCTCGCCTAGCATGCTTGAGGCACACTCAGTTTGATACTCACATAAAAATAAAATGAAGATATTGTGTCCACCTAAAACTATATATATATATATATATATATATATATATATATATATATATAATTTTTTTTTTAAGAAGAAGAGTTCAAACCAGCCTCAGCAACACTGAGGCACTAACAACTCAGTGAGACCCTGTCTCTAAATGAAATACAAAATGGGCTGGGGATGTAGCTCAGTGGTTGAGTACCCCTGAGTTCAATCCCCAATACTCCCCCCACAAAAAAGAAAAAAGAAAAGAAAAAAAAACAGTATGCAAATTCTCATAGAACCCTGTAGAGAGAAAAATTTTCAGAAGATCCATGGGTCTCTTATCTCTAATAAGATTCCAGGGGAATCTTATTAAGGTAACTGCTTCAGTGGGGCCTGACACCCTTCATTTCTAACAAGATGCTGTTGCTGGTGCTCATCCATGCACCATTCTTTAAGTGGCAAGGCTTTAGGAAATATTTAACTGATTGTGTGAGGAAATTAGGGATGAAGAAGAGAAAAGGAGAGTGATAATGGAAAATACTTGGAGTGAGATGGCTTGAGGGTTTGAATATCATGCATAACAAGAGATGTGAATTATGATTTCTAGGCACCGAATCCTGCCATTTTCAATAAGTGAATTTAGTTCCCAGTAAGTATTATATTTTCATGCTCAATACATTACTCGTTTATGGAAAAGATCCTGGCTCTTTTTTCGTTGGGCAGTAAGAGACTGTTTTGTGCTATGCATTGTTTCTTTCAAACATCAGTGTTCTGTTCTGTATATTCATTCTAAWATTAATATCTTGCCACTTTTAGATATTGCAAATATCTTATTTACAATGTCTTCTATCTTAATTTTGTCCTCCATGGATGAAAGTTATTACTTTTGATGTTATGAAATCAAATTCTTTTTTAAAAAATTTGTTTTAGTTGTTGATAGACCTTTATTTTATTTATTTATATGCAGTGCTGAGAATCGAACCCAGTGCCTCACACATGCAAGGCAAGTGTGCTACCGCTAAGCCACAGCCACAGCCCACTAGTATGTTAATTCTTATTATCTGTGGTTTTTTAAAATCTTCTGTAAGAATTCTTTACCCTTAAGTAAAAAATATTCTTATGCTTTTTCTATTAATATTTTAGTTTTTACCCTTCATATCAAATTCCATTGTACCTTGTGCATAGTATGTACATCATGGGAGATACGTATTTGTATATAGTGGGAGATATAAAGACAGCTCAATTATTCTATAAAGTAAGCTGGTTTGCAGCAAACTATCTTATAAACCAGGGTTTGGCAATCCTTAAAGGTAAGATAGTGCTACCTGGGGGCTGGAGTTGTGGTTCAGTGGTAGAACACTCGCCTGACATGTATGAGGAACTGGGTTCAATTCTAAGCACCACATATAAATAAATAAATAAAATAAAGGTCCATTGACAACTTAAAAAAATTTAACAAAAAGAAAAGTTAGTGCTACCTGTAAGTAGCTTTGTGGATTGTACTATCTGTTGCAATTACTGCTCAACATTGTTGCTGCAGGGTAAAGACAATCATAGATAATATTTAAACTAGTGACTGGTTGTTCCAACTGTCATGAAATAGTATTCTTATTTTAATTTTTTTTAAAAATAGATTTTGTTTCTTAGAGCATATTTAGGTTCCCAACAAAATTGAGCAGAAAGTGCAAAGCATTCCCATATGCCCCCTAGCTCCCCCAGGATCAACATCCTACTCCAGAGTAGTACATTTGCAACAGTCATTGAACTGCATATCAGAAGAATGCTCTCACCAGAGACCAGATCTGCTAGCATCTTGATCTTAGACTTTCCAGCTTCCAGAAGTTTAAGACATAAATTTATGTTCTTTAAGCTACAAAGTCTATGGGGCACTGAACTAAAACACTGGCCTAATGATCCCTATGCTCCATCTATTCATATCTCCCTTCCCCATAATCCTTCAGAATCATTGATCTTTTTACTGTCTCCATAGTCTTTCCCTTTCCAGAATGTCACAAGTTGGAATCAGAATATGTAGCATTTTCAGATTGGCTTCTTTTATTTCATAGTATACATTTTAACTTCTTCCACCTCTTTTTATGACCTGGTAGCTCATTTCTCTTCAGCACCGAACAATATTCCATTGAGTGGATATACCATATTGTGTGGGCATGTTTTTAAACTGTTTGGGCAAATACCAACAAATACAATTGCTTGATTACATACATGAAGAGTATATTTTTGTAAGAAACT